CAGGCGGGTCTCGAACCCGCGGGCTCAGGCAATCCACTCACCTCAGCCTCACAAAGGCGCAGGATTACAGGCTGAGCCACCAAGCCCGGCTGCCTTTTTGTTTTTTGATAAAAATAATAATGATAAGCAGAGAGAATGGAATTTAAAGGGCCCCAAATTTATGCAGTCCTCTATGTCAATGGTGAAGCTTTTCAAGACCATAGAACACAAAACAATAACATAATTTAGTTCAGGATACCCACGACAATTGCCTGAAATGAAATTGTCAGGTCCTCCCTACCTCATGGCACACCCCCAATAAAATAGCACATGCAGCAAAAATAAAAATAAATTGAACTAATTGAACTTCTTGAGATGCTGGCCTAAAATTATCTTTTAGATTTGTCCCATTATTAGTACTGTAAAGTGGATATGTATGCAAGATAATTTTCACATGCTTATAGGTGTACACATGAGATACTCCTAGAATCCCAGAGTTCTGGAAGGTAGGATTTGAGAATCTGCAAGGTAACTGTGTACTCACAAATCTAAGGCATCCCCTGTGGTCTGGCTACCACGCAGCTGGAGAAAAGGATTCTGAAGCCGAGGAACATTTAGGGGGACAGGGCACCTGAGCCTTGGCAGTTCCTCTGTCTACAGCAAAGTATGAAGTCATGTCTGCTCCCTGTACCATGTATGGAAGTTTGCCCACATACAAGCAACCTGCTTGTGATTGCAGTGAGAGTGTGGGCTTGGAGAGCTGTGATCTCCTGCTCACAGAATAATTCATCTGCAGCCACAACCTGAAATCAGGGAGACCTCAACAGCAATGGTACGTTTCTAGGGGGAATCTGTGTCCCTGCTTATACAAGAGCTCTGTGCTGGTCCATTCAGCACAGAGCAACAGTTGTTTTGGGTACTTTAGGTCCTTATTTTCCTCACACTAACTTTTTTTTTTGAGTCGGAGTCTCACTCTGTTGCCCAGGCTAGAGTACAGTGGCATGCTCACGGTCACCGCAGCCTCGACCTGCTGGGCTCAGATGATCCTTCTGCCTCAGCCTTCCAAGTAGCTGGAACTATAGACAGGCGCCACCATACCTGGATAATTTTTTTGATTTATTGTAGAGATGAGGTCTCACCAAGTTGACTGGGCTGGTCTTGAACCCATGGGCTCAGGCAGTCCCCTCACCTCAGCCTCCCAAAGTGCTGGGATTATAGGCATGAACCACCATGCCCAGCCCCCACACTGCCATTTTCAGAATTTTATTTTATTTTATTTTATTTTTAAACATATTTTTATTATAAAATTGTGAGGTACAGTTAAGGGTTAGGTATACAAATGTGCATCATTCAGGCACCCTTGTTAATAAGGGGTGTCTCCCCGTCCCCAGACAGATATTGACTACCATTAGTCCCACCTCCCTTCCCCTCCCTGCCCCCCATAGTTCCCCGCCACTGTCAGTCCTTTTCTTATAGTATTATGATAGATGTTCAAGGTCCACTTATGAGTGAGAACATGTGATACTCAGATCCTTGTTTCTGTGAGAGATCACTCAGTATTATCGACTCCAGTTCCATCCAGGTTGCTGAGACATTTTCATAATTTTAAATAGTTACTTTTAAATAGATAATTTTAAATAGATCCTTGAGTGGGTCATCCAGGAATTTCAGATTTTCCAGTTCATTTGAATTTATCAGATACCAAACACCAGAGCCTGCAAGGAATCAAATCCCCAGTGAGAATCACTGCAAGTCTCTCGACTACAGAAGCCCTCCAGTTAATCATCCTAAATCCACTGCTGGAGAGAGGAACCCCAAATCTAAATAGCCTGAAGGCACCAAGAACTGGGGAGAGAAGCAAACGACAAAATACAAGAAAGCAGGTTAACCACGGGGATTTTCTTTTTTTTACACAACTTCATGGGGACTGAATTATGGCAATTTTGTTACAGTTCTAGGCAGTTTTAAAGAATACTGATGGCGGGCATGGTGGCTCAAGCCTGTAACTTGGCTAATCTTTTTATAGAGAGAGAGAGAGAGAGACAAGGTCTCACCAAGTTACCCAGGCTGGTCTTGGACTCCTGGCCTCAGGCAACCCTCTCACCTTGGTCTCCCAAAGTGCTGGGATTACAGGCTTGAGCC